GTGGTCTGTCACCAGGCGGAACGGGCTACCGTACAAGTACGGACGAAACTTCGTGATTGCCCAGACGACCGCAAGGCATTCTTTCTCAGTCGTGGAGCAATTTTTCTCCGCCTTGGACAGTGTCCGACTTGCGTAGGCGATGACTCGCTCGATGCATTCTTGCACTTGGATCAGTACTGCGCCCAGTCCCGCGTTACTTGCGTCCGTGTGAATCTCGGTTTTTCCATCCTGATCGAAATGTACAAGCACAGGAGGAGTCTGGAGTCGTTTCAGCTCGTCAAATGCCTGCTGCTGCTCCTCGGCCCATTCAAACTTCTCGGCGTCCTTCTTGAGGTTTGTGAGCGGTGCGGAAATTTTAGCGAAATCCCGAACGAAGCGTCGATAGTAGGCGCATAGTCCAAGGAATCTTCACACGGCCTTCTTATCTGTTGGCGCTGCAAATGCCGTGACAACGCGAGTCTTCTCGGTGTCTGGGCGGACGTCTTTGTTACTAACCACGTGGCCCAGGAACTTCAGTTCGTCACAGGCGAACCGGCACTTTGACGGCTTGAGTGTGAGTCCGGCGGTCTGAATGGCTTGGCGAACAGCTCGGATTCGTCGCAAGTGCTCGTCGAAGTCACTTGAAAACACTACGACGTCGTCAAGGTATACCAGACAGCTCTGCCACTTCAACCCTGCCCGCACCGTGTCCATGACACGCTGGAAAGTTTCCGGCGCCGTGGATAGGCCGAAAGGCATCACTTTGAATTCGTACAAGCCATCCGGCGTGACGAAAGCTGTCTTCTCTCGGTCCCGTTCATCGACTTCGGTCTGCCAGTAGCCGCTCCTCAGCTCCATCGATGAAAAGTATCCAGAGTGGCGCAGCCGGTCAAGTGTGTCATCGATTCGGGGGAGTGGACAGACGCCCTTCTTCGTTACCGCGTTCAGATGCCGGTAGTCCACGCAGAACCTAAGAGTTCCGTCCTTCTTCCTAACCAGCACGACTGGAGAGGCCCACGGACTGCCTGAAGGCTGCATTATGTCGTCGTTTAGCACTTCTTCCACTTGCTGTTGGATGACCTCCCGTTCTTTTATGGAGACTCGGTACTGCGATCGGTGCGCAGGGAGTGCGTCTGCGTCCTCCTCGGTGACGATGCGATGCTTCGCAACGGTGGTTTGGCGCAGCTTCGACGACGTCGCGAAGCAGTCGCTGTGTTTGGCGAGAAGATCACTCAGCTGCTGTCGTTTCGGGCTTGGAAGCTTGGGGTCAATGTCAAGCTGCGCTGGCGGCGTAATGTCTTGCTGAGATGGCGATGATTCTTGAGCAATAGCGGCGATTTCGGCGGAGTTCCGAAGTTCCTCGAGTGGCCATCAGCGGCACCTTTTGTGAGGTGTTGCGTCTCTTGTCGGAAGTTTGTCACGAGGACCATGGTGCGCCCATCCTGAAGTTTAGTCACTCCTCTTGCGACGCCTATTCCTCTTCCCAGGAGCAATTGAAGGTTGCCTTCCAGAACAACTTCGCCGCAGGTAGCTGCATCGGTCACGACGGGTACGAGAACACCTGATCGTGGCGGCAGGTTCACGTGGTCGGCAGCGACTCGGACGGCGGCTGACGCTGTTTGGGGTTTCTCTGAAGATGGAACAGGCGTCCGCAGCGTCAACCTGTTTTCACCAAGGTCGATGGCGGCACCGTATTCACACAGAAAGTCCATGCCGAGAATGACGTCCCTTACAGTGTCTTGTAGAGTGACGAATTTCACAGGGCACGTCTCACCGTGGATCTTGACGCGAGCGGTGCATCTCCCGACTGGTGTGATGAGATGCACTCCGGCGGTTCGCATTTGAGGCTCATCCCACGGCATTGTCACTTTTCGCAGGCGGCGAGAGAGCCTCCCACTCAAGAGTGAGTAATCTGCCCCGGTGTCAAAGAGTGCCGATGCGTCGAGGCCGTCGATAACAACGTTTAAGCTGTTGGACACCGTTGCAGGGCCGTTGATGCGGGGCGTCGGGAGAGTGGGAGCGCTCCGGCGTTCTTGGAGGCTGTTTGCTTCCGTCGTTTTCGACCACGTCACCTCCAGGCGTTGCCGCACTTAGTTTTCCCGGCGATGCAGGGGAGAAAGGCACTCTCGGCGGGGTCGTTGCACTGGGGACGCTGAACGTCGTGGTGATGGGGAGCGGGCTTCACGGTGGAGAGACGACACTGGGGAGGGTGAGCGTCGGAAGTACTCCTCGATGTCGCGAGGGCGTTCGTCGTATCTTGGGCGCGGGTCGCTTGGGTGGAACCCGCGCAGCCAAAGTTGTCTGTAGGAGCATCGACGATAAATGTGGCCGGCTTCACCGCAGTGATAGCAGAGCGGGCCTCGATCGGCCGTCCTCCACACGTCGTTCTTTCGTGGTGCTGCTTGTTCTGGGTGGGCGTGCGCCCGATCTTCCTGGCTTCGGGAAAACTGCGGCACTGGAGGTTCACTTCGGCCTGGCGGTGAGCTTGCGTCGGTCGTCGGGCCATGGCGGCGTAGGTCAGTGTCGGTTCTTCGGGTGCGGCCATGGTGACAGGGGCATCTGGTAGTAGGAACGCTCGCTCAACCTCGTCTCGGACGACCTCGGCAATGGAGATTAAGGCCGTGTGTTCAGCAGTCGGCAGAAGCTTCTTAAGCTCCTCCCGGACGATATCGCGCATGATGTCGCGAAGGCCGGGGATACTAGGGCTGAGGTCGTAGCCCGATGCAGAAGCAGCAGCGACGCTCGAGTGCCGATGGTAGTGCCTGGCTCTTGCGAGGAGGGCACGTTCCATGTTCGTGTCCTCCGTGACGAAGTCTTCGACGGTGGATGGGGGGTTGTGAACAAGACCACCGAAGATGTCATCCTTGACACCTCGCATTAGGATCCGCAGCTTCTTTTCGTCGGTGGCTTGAGGGTCCGCGCGAGCGACCAGGCGCAAAACATCCTCGACGAAACTGGTGATAGTCTCGTTTGGTCCCTGTGTCCTTATTCGAAGTAGGTCGTCGGCCTTCTCCCGTCGATATTGGTTGCGAATGTCCGTCTCAGCGCATCCTTGCAGGTGGTGCAGGGAATCAAGGACGTCTCGCGATTCTCGAACCAGTGCCTGGCCGTCCCTTCGAGCGCAAAGTAAAGACTCTGCAGGCGCTCTTCGGTCACTCGCTCGTACTGCTGTAGCCAGTTCTCGATGTCTTCATAAGGCTCACCGTGGAAGGACGCGAGCGTACGGGCAGCGACGGGTAGGACAACAACGGGTAGAGTCGTCATTGTCGCGGTCTCCTTTTTTGGTTTTTGCGGCAGGGGTACGAGTTCCGGGGCAGGCCTTGGTTACGGCGACTTGACCGGGCCTTGGTCTGGTCTTCTGCGAAAAGTAACCTCCCAGGGCTCAGCACGTCACTTGGCCGGCGTGTTTTCGGAGGGGTACGGTCCACGGGGATAGAATGCAAACACCCCGCACCTCCACCAAAATGTCACGAATGACAAGTGATGAGGCGATAATAACTGGAGAAACTAAACGTTTAATGGGGCGAACCTGTGCCCGAAAATGCAAAAAAGGAACAGAATAAAGCAGAGCGCCGCGGGCGTCGATGTCGGCGTGACAGCAGAGTCGAACGCTGGGGCGAAACTGACTCCGCTCACCCTGCTGAGTCCCTTTTGTACCCTCGTGGGTTTCTGGATCATTCGGCGTAGAACTTTCGATGCGTAGAACATTCGGAACTCGATCAGACGAGAATGTTCTCGAACTTACGAGAAGGGCAAGTTGAAAGAGCAAATAAAAGGACAGTCCGATGGCTGGAATCGAACCTACACCTTCCGCGCGACAGTCAAGCGTGATAACCACTCGGCCAAGCACGCGCTCACTCGCCAACGTGCGTGGCAATATCATACAACGCCGGTAATTAGGAGCTCTACGGTAAAGAGGAGCATCACGCCGTTCACTGCCGTAAATGCTCCTCGTTACCGGTGTTGCAGGATGTTAATATCATTGCTAGATAGAAATACTAATCATGCATAGAACTGCATGAGGCATTAAAAATTCGAGCGTAAAGTACAGATTGTGTAGTGAGGCATGAATCGCCCTTTAAAACGAACATGTCAGTTTTATCAAAAATGCTGTGCGCCGATGTTATGATGACTAGACTGACCGATGGGGCCGATATAGTACGCGTTCTTTCCGAATAAACTAGTTAAAAACGCGCCCTGTGTTTGTCTTACTTCGTCTGCGTGCTTGTTGTTTTCGTCGCTTTTATGCCTTTGAGCACTAACAGCCTCAGGACGTAACCCGACAGAAACAGTTCAACAGAACTGTTTCGGTCGGCTTCTCCACTAGGTCTGATATTATTGTTTTCTGCCTTGGTGTGTTTGGAACGAATTGGCTTAGAATTTGAGTCACCCTAAAGACAAAGCTTTTTTTTCTTCTTTTTTTTATGAAGTTGCGGATGACTTAGCGAAAGGAAAGTAAAAGCGCGGTATGAAATAAATTGTGTTACGTTAGTTTGAGACGCTTGTCTGTCGCATTTCTTCTGTCCCTTATAATTTATCTTCAAGTTTCTTTTCCAGTGCTAGTATCTGAACATCATGATTAATACGCACTAGTTCGTCTGCACTTCGCGCATTTTCCCTAGTAGTGTTCAGCTTTGCATTGCGAATTTTAATTAGAGCCCGAGATCTTTTCGCCAAAATCATAACTTTCAGTAAATTTCTCTCTTATGCCTTCGGCAAAAATAAATGCATCTGAATATTTCAGAGCCTATTCACAACTAAATTACAGGGAAACCATATGAATATCGATCATTGCTTCCGTGTGACGACAATGACTACGGGTTTTTGTCACAAAGCTACATGTGTTACACTGCGCGAAGCTGGGCGGGTCGCTTCCCGGTGTGAGATTTATTGTTACGATTAGGTCGCTCTGCAATCTCGTAGGCTACGTTTCAATAATGCAATTGTGTTGTCCTGTCGCGCTCTCTGTTTTTCTTAGGTTTTTGGTGAATTTACTACGCGAAAGCAACATAATAACAAACCTGAAGGACAGGGGCCCGGTTGGAACGTGATGTCATCCAGAGCGAGAAAATTGCTTCCCTTGCCGGCTTTAACGGAGGTCGATATGGAAACCTAGGAAAAAAAAAAATGTATTGCATGTAAGGTGCTTCGCTTTCTTCTAACCATTCAGTATCCCATGCAAGAAACGACAGCTGCACTACGGTAGGCATTGTTTAAGGACACGTTTAATATTTTTGGTAGATCACTCGCGTTGTTGCTCACTTAAGTGAATCTCTACTACAAGAGGGGTACAAAACGAAAGGAGAATGCCATACACTAATAGTCGTGCGGTGGGAAGCAAGAGAGGATTCCACTATACACTAATTTGTAATTGTGTTCTGCGAGTGTCTTCGGACGCGGGAAGTTATAACAGCCTCAATATGCGCCTGGTGTTTCGGCTGTCGATGAGAAATTAAGCCGGTACAGTACGACTGCTATACTTAGTTTTTTTTTATCAAATATTTTAAGAAAATACCACTCTTTTTTTTTTTTTCGCATCAGAGCTGCTCAAAAGGCGGAGAGGAAAAAAAAAAAAACTCCCGTTAGAAAGAGGAAGATAGATAAAAGGCAGGAACGACGGTCTAAGACACGGCATTCACGCTAAAGCATCCCTTTTTGCGCGTAGTAATAGCGTAATGTAGTGTGCCTTACAACCTATCGTGAATATTTGTTCTTATGTACGAGTATTTTATTCCGAAACATTTGCCCTAATGTTTCGACAAAAGAAGACAAACGGTCTTTTTAGAAGGTCACAACCCATGGTCACAGATGTGTATCGTGTATATTGTGGGAGTTGGGCAGCTTGAAAACATTGGAGAGAAAATCCGATGATACCTCTCACGCCAATCTAAGCGCGAACTATCCAAATAGGCCTTCACGATTCTACCCCGGTGATTCTATCATTATGCACATGTATGCACGGGTTATGTCTAACTGTTTTCAATTCGTTCACTCGCACACGCTAACACATTGAGCATTTATTATACTCTCCGCACTTTCCGAAACTCAGGGGAGCCAATGATAGGCTCCAAGAAATTATCAACGTGTACTTTCCTACAAAGAACTTGGAAAAGCAAATTGCTGCAATCTTCGGAGGAGGCTCGGCTTATCACGAAGACGATGATAACTTTAGAGCTGAAAATCCGTCAGCACTGTGCCACGGAGCGCAGTGAAAAATATCATGCGCAGTGCGACACCAAAGAATGTTTTTTGCATGTTTAAGCATGTTTTCAGATTTTCAGCTATCATTCGCGTTGCTGCTTGCGTCGGTTGCAGCGATTGGCTCAGGAAAATGGACACTGTAACTTTCTTAGAGCGTACGTACATACCTATAATGTTCGTATGAAGACGTGTTCGTTCTTGTGGGGCTGACGATTTGAACACCATTCCAACTCGTTTTACTTTAAGTATTTCTGGCATGAGAAATGTGGCCTCCTCTGTGAATTATGTATGCATAACCGGATTTTCCCCGTGATACGCACTAGGCTGTGCAATGTGCAAACTTATTGTAAAATATTTTGGGACCGGTTATCTGAACCACAAACCCTCTTGCGTCACTTGAAAGTTTTTCGTGTAAGCTTTTTTTTATTTTTATTTTTTGAAATATCGATTTCTTGTGGGTTACTGCTAAGGACGGTAAAACATATAAAGAGGGGGCTGGCAAATATAAGGATGCTGTATAAAAACCAAACCAAACAAAACACGCAGAGAAAACAATAAAACTTACTCCTGAGGGTGAACCTAAAGCCCTGAAGTACCGTTCAAAATAAACAAAAATTGACCAATGACTAAACAATAAAGGGACAGGCTCAGAAAAGAACTGACAACAAAAAAGAACTAAGACACACAAACGCATATATAAATCTGACATCAGAAAGGACACAAGCAGAGAACCTAATTGCGCATCCAAAATGTGCAATAATTGAACATCTAAAAAACCTCAGTGTCTGTAATAGTCCCGATAGTATCTGAGAAATCGTTCCAGTCTACATTGATGAGCGGTAAAACACTTTAATAAAAGCGTTTGTCAAACCTAATATTCGCTGAAAGCTGCAAGAAGTGTTAAGGCCGCGAGACAATCTCGCCGAAAGGTACAACAGTGAGCCTCTAGCTTTGACATCTAAACCACATTTTAGACCGATGTGTTTACCGCGCCCTGAACGGTGGGCCGTCAATTACCGCCTGATGACGTCATAAAAGTGTCGGGCTGTTGCCCTTCAGCAATCCTGGCGGTGGAACAGGAACGGCAGTAGTGCGGCAGACGCCTAGCTTCTGCTGTAGGTCGCCCTTCAGCTTGACAGTCCATTGAAGCTCCAGCATCCAGGAGTTGAGACTTCGCGACAACAGCGATCCTTGCTTCCGCTCGCCTCTTTCGCCAACATTTCTACGAGCAACCGCCAGGATTGCGACATGCAGCAGCGTGACACTCCAACTGCTAGGTCCTTTCAACCCAAAGGAGACGGCAATTTTCGTCATATTTTGGTTATGCTTGAAAAAAATGATATGAATAAAGACACATCTGAAAGTAAGGATGGCTAAGTTTGAGGGCTGAATTATGTTTATTCTTGCTGACGTCATGCTCCAAAGTGCAGGGAATTGGAGAAAACCTCCTGTACTTAAAAACATTGCTGAAAAAAAGTTATTCTTACCCCATAATTTTACGTTTGCATGCAATAGAGCACAAATATATTCTATCTTCCCTTGAAAGGAAAACACCTTACGCCGCCATTTTGGGTCAAGACAGCCACTCCAAACCGAAGCAAATTTTTAATATTTCTTAATTCTTCTTTGTCAAATTGAAATTAAAATTTGACTAAAAACTTTCTTTACTTATTTTTATAAACCTTATAATCGACAAGATTGCATTATAATAGTAAAAAAATAATCGGAAAGTTCTTAAATTAATGGTGAATATGTCACTTTCTTGAAAAACGGCCCTATAGAGGGTAAAAAAAGAAAAGAAAAAGCCATGTGGGCAACGGTGCTTGCATTTTCTGAAATAGCCGAAAGTTTAACCGACCCAATCTGTTCAACATATCATAAAATTGGAAAAGTATTTTTTGTTATTTTAGAGAAATATTTTTTTTAAAAATGAGGAAGGACTGCATCACCTCCAGGCGTCCACCTCGTCGGCAACGCAAGCCGTCGTCTGCTACGGTCGAGTGAAACATTGCACGGAGAACTTAATTTCGTTACTTATATTTGTATAGCTAAAGCTCAGGATCTTGACATTATGACAAGTCTATTTATAGTGACTAGAGAGTGCATATTTTTTTTTCTCTAAACTATATGTCCGGGTGCGCTTGCAAGTTGAATAGCGACAACTCGAAATATTGTTTGGGATACTTTTTATCAAAGCCGAAACAAATCACATTTGCAGCTCACCGACGTTTTTGTTTCTCCTTATGTGGATAAATATAAAATATAGTCCAGAAATACTATATCACATTTAGAATATCAGTGTTTCATTAGCTTTCAGTTCATGTCATAGGCTAGAACACTGCGCACGTCTGGAACGTCACCGGAATGATTCGTCTGCTGCGATGTCTTAAATTCGCATGCAAAACTCTTCCTGCACGATGGATGCGGGTGTTATTTTAGTTACCACGTAGTAATATTCTTTTGGCACGCTAATTTGAAGGCTTCAATTCCACTTTATATGTGCTCAGGTGACGGGAGAAAAGCCGTCGTCTGCTAACCGAGTTTGTGAATGCAGACGTTTCGTCAGAATTGGTTAGCAGACGGCGCGTCTTCACTTTTTGGTCACACTGCGTTTGCTTGTAAAAAATGAAATAGTGAACGCGGGAAACCGTCAACGATGCGGAGCGATAACGGTGATTTTCTTCCTTTTCAGCGAAAAGGTATTGGGGTGCCAATACATAGTGCAACTGAAAAACAGAGAGTGAAACATTAAAAGAAGCAGAACATTAAGAGTGGATATTGAGGCCAACGGCCGTTTGAAGCTTATAACACAACAGAAGCATGTTGCGTGTTTACCACTCGTAAAATATATATGTCTCCCCTATATGAAAAAAAGTTGTGTGTTGTGCTCCTATCGAAAACCCCTAAATATGAGTATTCGCTTGCCCTTTCTGGCATATTGATATCTTATCTGAGTGACATCTGGATATAGTATTTCTGGACTATATGTTACATTCATGTACATAAGAAAAAAACAAAATGTCGGTGAACTACAAATGTGCTTTGTTTCGTCTTTGATAAAAAGTATCCCAAACAGTATTTCGAGTTGTCGCTATTCAACTTGCAAGCGCACCCGAACATATTGTTTAGAGAAAAACAAATTATGCACTTTCTAGTCACTAAAAATAGTCATGTAACAACGTCAAGATTCTTAGCGTTAGCTATACAAATATAATTAACGAAATTAAGCTCCCCGTGCAGTGTTTCACTCGACTGTTCCAGACGACGGCGAGCGTAGCCGACGAGGTGGACACCTGGAGGCGATGTTGTTCTGCCTCATATTTAAAAAATAACTTCTCCAAAATATCAAAAAGTACTCTTCTCGTTTTTTGATATGTTGAACAGAGGGGTTGGTTAACCTTTCGGCTATTTCAGAAAGTGCGAGCACCGTAGCCCACATGACTTTTTCTTGCCTTCTATATGGCCGTTTTTGAAAAAAGTGACATATTCACGATCTATTTAAGAACTGTCCGAATATTTTTTTTTATAATTGTAATGCAACCTAGTCGAGCATAAGGTTCAGTAAAACAAGTGAAAAAAGTTTCTTAATCAAACTTTAATTTCAAGTTGACTAAAAAAATCCAGAAATCGCAAAAATTTGCTTAGGTTTGGAGTGCCTGTCTGGACCCAAAATGGCGCCTAAAGGTGTTTTACTTTCAAGGTAAAATAGAATATATTAGTGACCGATTGCATGCAAAATTAAAATTGCGTGATAAGAAAAGCTTTTTTTCAGCAATTTATCGAAATACAGAAGGTTTTCTCCGATTCCCCGCACTTTGGAGCATGACATCACCAAAAATAAACGTAATTCAGCCCTCAAACTTAACCAGCCTTACTTTCGAACGTGTCTTTATTCATATTAGTTTTCTCAAGCATAACCAAAATATGACGAAAATTGCCGTCTCCTTTGGCATGGAATGACCCAGCTGTGATTCCGCTTTTTATCCCCCTTCGTAACCCTTCCCGAGGCATGGGAATCATGAGACGCTAAGCGCACCCGCCAAAGACGCCTTCCAGTCACCGTACTTCTATGGCTATGTTCCAAATTTTACCCGAGCAACCTGCCTCCTACGTCAGAGGGTAATACCATAGAGTTATTATAATGTACGCTAGAGGTTCAACTGGCGCTAGTGTCTATGCGACTTCCGTGACGCAAATTGAAGCAGACAGCAACCAGTCTACTTCTGCGGTGTTCCTGTGCATTCCTATGGGAAAACGCGCGTGCATTTTGTCTCTTAGCCGGAAATTAACACGGAATACTTTGGTTATTTGGGTCGTACCGAATAGTATGTACCTTGATTAGCACTGTAAAAGTGTAATTGCTTTAGTTAGCGCATTTTTCTTCATCAGTGACCGATGTTTAACTTCGCTACATTTCAGTCCCAAACGTGTGTTCCGCAGCAGGTGTGTAGAAACAAGCGACGATTCGAAGCAAAATTACAATCGAAAGGAATGTAGAGTGTGTTCAAGGCTCGCCAGCAATCCGGTGGCGCTTATATATTGATAATATGCCAGTCCTGTCACTATATAAAAATGCCCCCTTCGTGCATGAGCGGATAAAAACATTCAAAACGTAGAGAATAAAGTCCGTGGGCTATAAAAGTTGTCTCTTCGTATTGTTTTCTCTGCCGGGCAGCTTTTATCGGGCACTTGTTCTCAAAGATTTCGAGCGTGCGAGTGATATTTTGAACGTAGAACAAGCAGCTTCGCTCAGAGCAGAAAGAATAAAACGGTACTTACTTATTTAAAATAGGAATAAATTACGTGGCCTTCAATTAATTTTGATCGTATATGCACGTGTAGTTAGTGATCCGGTGTTACTGCGTACTTCTTGCCGTCTTTCTTAATTTCCAGATGTTCTTCGTTCGTTCCACGCTGAAAAGCTCCGACGTCGTGTTCGCGCTAACAGTGTCCGCCAGTGCACATAAATACACGTACGAAGCTGTTTTAGCACCGTTTTTAATGCGATGAATTTGAAAGAAAAACACCGTAACTGTCCAATTATTTCGTCGGCCTGACTGAGAAATGTTCCAAGCTAACTAGTACGTATGAATTATTCGGTATATTTGCTCTTATGATCGAGCGCAGAGAGAAAATGCACTCACTTTTTCCCATAGAAATGCATTACCGGAAGTCAATTTTCGACTGGTTGCTGTCTGCTTCAATTTGCGTCAGCACACTAGCGCCACTTGAACCTCTAGCGGACATTATAATAACTCTATGGGTAATACCACGTGACATCGCGAGTAAACGATCCGCGACTCGATTTTGGAACGGCCGGGATAATAACCTGGATACTACGCGGATTGGCTTCGTCTTGGGCTACGGCAAAAATAAAACACAGCAGCGGTGGCAGAAAATAGCAGACGATCTCATAAAGAAAGCACTCAAAGACACGATAATATTAATAACGACGCGTTTTTTTTTGTTTTTTTTTTCGGTGGATTCATCAGCTCCTTTTACTCATCTTCCTTTTGAGCTGTATATTGCGATAAAAATTACTTACCCCTTACAGTTAGATATCAAAAATTGTGTTTTTATTAATCAGCGCGATCGCCCTAAATGCATATATTTCACGCATTGCGATTTGCACCGATTATGTTTTGCAGAAATTGATTCCACACGGTGTAGTGCTTCAGCACGAGGGTGCTTTCTAAAAAATGACATGAAACCGACGTTCGCTTTGACGCGTATATGATTATAATGAAATCACCGAGGTCTTCACAGCTTTACAAGCGTTATCCTCTCATTACACACACCATAGAGGAAACAAAAATACTGCCTTATCATTTACTGCGTTCAAACATTTTCAGCCTTGAACGTGAGAATACGGCATTCCCTCCAACGCCGAGGACGAGAATGCGGAGAAGCTCCTGTTTACGCTCGCACTCTGATAATTACAAGTATAACTTCCCGGGGAAGGTGCACAGTCTGGATGCAATGCAGTCAATTCGTGCGTTGAAAACAGCAAATCGCAATAACCAAACATGCTCCACCTATTCTTTGTCATTTCGAAGGTCCGCCACCAAAACCAGCGGAGCAAGCGAGGTTTGACGGCTGTCGGCGCGGAAAGCAGACGACGTGCAGATCACGTGACGTATTTACTCGATTTGATCCGACGTAACCCCCCGATCGAGGAGGGTAGCGTGAGTAATTACTCCGGAGTAAACAACCCGCTTCTGGAACGCGAGTTCTGACGTCATCGAGTAAGCTCGAGTAAGTTTTGGAACGCCACGGTACAAAAACTTTACTCCCGAGTCGGATCGAGTAAATTTTGGAACACAGCCTAACTGTGTTCGCTGCTATTTTCTCTGCCTGCGTAGAATTTTGTATTTGTCGTTTTATGTTTATAAACATACACCTCTTGCAACAACTTACGTTCACCAGTCCGGTCCGCGTCTCCGGGTACACAACCCTGTGCCAGAAGCCGACGAAGGCTTCAGACGAGAGATGGAAGGTCATGGAGAAGGGTCCCGTACAGCGGAAGAGCACGCGGGGCCGCTTCACGCCAGTCAGGTGGTACCAGCCGGAGAAGCAGAAAGGCGCCTCGAAGGAACGCCGTAGTCGAGCGATCCCCTCGCCCGAAGCGTACGCGACCGAACCGCTTTCTGTGGGAAACAAAATTGGGGAGAAAGCATACTTCAGTCCTTGCGATGAGCTGCAAATAATGTGAAGTGTCCTTCAAGGTGCTGCGGAGCACACTCTGCCGACTACTTACGACACGCAAACACACTGCACGCTAGTCATGACGTATTGTGAAATCACGCTGTCAGGTTACATAATCGGGTCACATGACGCCGCAGTGACCCTTAACGTCCCAGTGTTTGATGACGTCACAGTGTGAAGTGACGTAACCAGAGAAGCACGTCTAACCGTGACGTGTAACGCAAAACGTTTTCTGTCATATTTAGCGGATAAATTATCCCGCTATATATAGCGGATGATTTTCCCAGTCAGGACAACCCGTACGGTTTTTCTCAAGAACTGCACCAAAATACTCTGTACGGTGTACTCAGGAACTGTACTCTGTACTCAATAACTCTTGAGTACACTTGAGTACTCTTAAATACTCTTGAGTACTCTGTACTCAAGAACACTCGCTTGACGATTTCAAAATTTAAACCAACTCGCAGTTCTGACGTCACGCCAATGCGGTGGCGCTGCCGTCATCCTGTGCATGCTCAGACGCTTCGCTTCACACGAATCGGATTTCTGAGCATTCGCGGTTCTCACACCTGATGTCGAAAAAAGGCAGACTTGTTTTGCACAGCGTGTTGGCCAATGAGCTGCGAGGAGAAACTATTTTCTTGACGAACGCAGTCGTCGGTCAAGTCATAACTTACATGACCCAGAAGGACAACAGGACTTCACCTTTCTTCGAAGAGTGCACATTCCTAGTTCTTCTGATCGTGGCATTCGTTACCGCTAAATTTCCTCCAATCTTAAACTATACGCAACACACCCTGCCAAGCACTATTGGTTGATGACCTATCCTAAGCGTCACACTGTATACTGAGTGACGCTGATTATTATGTAAGGGCAGCAAACTTTCTTATGTTGGGATATGACTGGAGCGCGTATGTGGTAAAATATTTTGGATATTTACGAACTTTCAAGTTTAGAGGCATGAGCGATGACGCATTGGGACTGTCTATCGCGGTTCGTGGGTGTGCAAGGCTGGCATATCCTGATGACAGGAACGAAAAATATCCTCAACAAATTACAACCTTATACCAGAAATATGTCTAACAATATAAATTTAAATCTGACAATAAAATGTAGATACTGTTCAAAGTTGAATAGCGATACCACAATAATTGCACGGAATATACACTCTACTTCATTTCAAAATTAGAAGCTACAACTTTACCCTTAGGCTGCGCTTGTGTGTTAGTTTTGTCTCCACAACTTTGATTTTTCGCGAAGGTTCGGCGTCATCTGTTCGTAAACGAACAAAGTGTTTCTGATGGCGTACTTGAAACTCTATCCAGCTAATACACATGCATTGTTGTTGCATTAAAAGGTGACACACAGTTACAGCGCGTCAATGTTCAAACCATCGGCTACCCCCGCTCCAGACTATTATTGTCCGCCAATATCTTTTTGTGGGCGCTAGCGAAAAATGGCGGAGCACCACCTCTGTTACAGACTGCGTGTGCACACAGGCAACCCCAGAAAATGGCATTCCTACGGCCACGATCCCTTTGTAGTGTGATATTTCCCCAGCCTTGCTTATCTGCACTCCACTAATCTAACTTCCCTCGGCAGCTGAAGACACCGTCAATATGATAAGCGATTATACAAAATAGCTTACAAGGCAACTTTCGCCTGGCGGTATATGTCACTAGCTCATTTATATCGCAATACTGAGCTTGTGCTGGAGACCGTTCTTCCCCCACGGTGTCCCCCGCACTAAAAAGTATTATCATCGTGTTCCGCTTGTACGCAGCATTCTACTTAAAGCACTCACTCATCAGCAATACTCGGAATCTTTTGATATCACACTTCTCGGAGTGCTGAACGTGTGACACGCTTCCAAAATCGTTTGGCTATCTGCATTTGCATACGAGACAACTCTATCTGGCTCGGTTAAGCTTCGCAGTTTACTTAGCGTATATTCTGGAAAGGTAATCACGCATTTATGATGCAACATCACGAGATTCGTTAGCACATCGATGTGATACAAATTGCCGCAACTGTAATGGCGCAACTAAATAATTGTTCTTGGTTACTCGTAATATGATACCGTTCTAAACCCGGTCTATACTCGTAATGCGTGTAAATGTCTACTTAGAAAATATTTTTTTTTTACGCTTTCAGTTTCATAGTTTTACAGCATAGAAAGGCCGGGCGTGGTGAATAACAGCTCTGCGGCTAATTGCATTGCGGCGTTACTTAAATCGGAACGTTGAAGAACACGTCCCAAATTAGCCTCACGATCATAATCAACAAAGCTGTGTGTTTCTTAAGCGGTAGGTTACTCTAGCGTCTTTTGAACATGATGCGTAATATCTCTCCCTCCTATCTTGTTTTCTGTATACATTAAATATATCGGGATAACCATCCCTACTACTGGTCACTGCGCGGCTTCGCGTGTCTGATGTGCGGTTTTTTGATAAGAAGAAATAAAATTCAAGCTCGAAAACACAAGATAATTAAATATCCATCCATCCATCAATAACAGCTTAAGACACGGAGGGCGTGGCGTATTATGTTTAGGGTTTTTGCTTCGTACCTTGGTTTTCCGCATTCTTATAGGCTAATGCGACGACCTCATTGGCTACGAAGCAGTGCTGAGGTGTTCTGGACTCTCTGTGGATTTTCTAGGTTTACAGCAACTATAGTGAGTTTGCTCCTTACTAACACGCTCTATGTTCATCTGAATTCAGACGCTTTCTTCACCTGTGCCCGGCCCTTGGTCCACGCTGGGTCCGACATCCAAGTCACTCACTCGTGCCACTTTGAAGCAGGCTTGCTGAGAGCAGTTGGTCTTGTAACCCTCGCATAGGCCATTCTCAAAGTCGCACGTTTCTGAAATTTGAAAACGAAACTTAATTGACTACTTAATTCACTACGGCATTGCTTGATTAAAGAAGCAGGATTCAGAATTAAAAAAAAAAAAAACTTTCCCGCAACTTGTTTTTGTTTTAATTTTTATGCTTTACTTATCTTAAGGGGGTAAACAAATTTCGCATGTCAACATGCTTTCCAAAACTTATCACTAACGTGGTATCTAAAACGTGCAAGAATTGGAGCATTTACATTTTATATGAGGTTGGAGACATTGTTGTAGCCCGTACCCCAGTCTCGTGTGACTTGGGAGTATTTATTGACGCTTAATTTGCAATTATAGTCACACAAAAGTAAAGTTTTTTTTTATTGGCTGGTATATCCAACACCACCTAGCCAGAAGGCCTCCACACGCGTCATCATAGTCAGATCGATCGAGGCGAGAGATTGGGCACGAGTGCTGCGTCAGTGTTCGGCTGCGGCTCGTGGCCAATCAGCACGTCGAAGGTCGGGCTCGGGTCCAATAGCCGACCGAGCGCGATCCGACTGTGATAACGTTTCATACGGAGGCCTTCTGTCTAGGTGGTGTTGGTATATCACGTACCGCTAAAGGTTTGAAACAATACTGTGCCTCTTAAGGAAATCAAATGATTTTTAACGGAACCTTGAATCCCAAAATATTTTCATGCGTTCTTTCGTACAAAAATCTCTCGCAATATTTAGCAGGGACGTTGACGCCACGGGACCTGACGTTACGAGACCTACGCACAAATTAAGTTTCCCTACTAATTTTGCGGAAAAATTGAGGTTACCTGACCTATGGAGCAAAAAACATTTCCCCGCTAAATTTAGAGAGAAAATTGACGTCACGTGACGAATGCACAAAAACAGTTTTTCACTAAATCTAGCGGCAAATTTATATAAATCAGGTTCTTCCCTTCCCCAAACGACTGTTTCATGTCTTCTCAGTAGATTAAACATTTAACTACTGAAAGACAGCATCGTGCATTGAATAGGACTTCAAGAATATAATCGCTGCCAATTTTTATTTTTGTTTGTTTCTTTTCAGCGGAGCGGTATAGGCTGTGAAAAAGAAATAAAGAGAGAGAGAGAGAGAGAACGAATAAGGCAGGAAAGACAGAGGAATAAGGGTAGGGTTTTCTTACTCGGTCCTACTGTTTGCTACGTAATTTAGGATAGAAATTTATCACTGCCCTATACTGCTTGGCATCTGATACTCCACTGGATTCCTATATTGCACTGGATTCCTATGCTGCACCGGATTACAACCCTAGATATTACATACTAGTGCAGGATTTCATTACTGGATTTCTATCCTATACTGCCTAGATTCCTATACTGCACAAGATTCCTACCCTCTACTGCCTAATCAAAATATGAATCTAGCACTGGATTCCTACCCTGTACTGCCTCATATACTGAACGAGTGTATCACTGGATTCGTACCCTATAATAAATGAGGAAGGGTCGGAACCCATCACTCCATTAATACCCTATACCACCTGAGTTCCTACAATGCAACGAATTCCTACTTTATGCTCCTTAAAGGGATTGTCCGATCAAATTTTGTATTCGAGAAAACAATTGAATATCATTGTTATTGCCTCGAGACGCATCGTACGTGCAATATCTGAATTTTATATGGCCCTCTGCGTGAGTAATTGAGTTTATACTGCTCCAATCGCATTCTAGCGTAAACGCGGTTTTCGTTGGCAACATTGGAGCTCTGACGTCACAAAACACAAAGCGAGCATTTTTGTCTCGTCGATTGCCTGTGAGTGAACGCCTCAGCGTGCTTCGTTTTTGTTCTTGTGCTCGACTTGTTCTGTGGTTGGGTGAGATTTTTGTTGCGCGGTTGGGTGCCATATCCACCGGGCAGCACATGCGAGCCAAGACATGACGTTCCACACTTTTCCGCGAGACGTGCAGTGACGAGCAAAGCGGATCGTCGTCGTGCGTAGGGACTGGGTTCCCGTCAAGATCGAGATCTCGCTTATGCAGCAATCATCTCACAGAAGAAAGCTACGAGCTGAGCTCTAAGCGGACAGAAGGGTTACAAGCTGAGGTGTGATGCTGTGCCAACGATACTGAACTACGTCCACCCACTCCTCGCCCAAATCGGGCCAGTCAATTTAGGTCTGTTCGATTCCCCTGAACTGGCTGAACTAGTTCAGCGTCCGTGCAGAGGCAGACGACAAGAGCAGACGGCGATAGCAGACGACACTCCTCGTCCGCCTCTGCTCGCGGTACCATTTTTCGCAGCTCTTGCTCAAATGTCTGCAATGTTTAACAATAACGCCGATACGGAGGTTGCATTTCCTCTCATTTATGATAATAACGTACCCGTGATGGATACGGAATTAAGATCATAACCGAGGGTAGGAATTTGATGATTATGATATTTTGAAAGCGTTTTGGGCACCTGCTCGCGTAGGTTTGGCTCCCTGTGGTGAGTGTTGAAATATTGGCTCACGTAAATTGTTTCTTTTTGGTGCTTTGCGGATATCCACAGTGTTGATATTCTTACTTACAGACACAGGAAAGGTATTGCCCTCATGATAGTCCCCGCCTTCAGTTGCTCTTGGATGCATACTGAAGATCCGATACATTTCAGAGGTCTGGGATTTAGTGCGTTGACACTCGCATGTCCCCGTAGCTGAGCGTAAAACTGCATGCTTTGTCCGCTGGTATCTGTGGACGCCCACTAACGGGCCTGGGAAAAACGCCGAGAATCGGCATATTTGCCGATTCTCGCTTTAACTTGACGCCGAAGTTACGGTCGATAACTGTCTTGGCCAAGACGCTACCGTCAGGCTTTCCTTTTTGAGGTGACCGGTATACCGACCGCGCTGCCGCCGGCGATCTCCCGACGTAAAATCATTCCGATGCAGCGAACCTATCGTCGAAATGCAAAGATTCCCTTTGAGGGGCTTTTGCCGCTACCAGAACCTCCTGGCCGAATCGAACAGACCTTGATTATGCAGCGAAACCAAAACCAACAGCTAGGCCATCTCGAAATGATACCATAAGTTGTATTTAGCACGCGTGCAGCCCGATATCTGTTTGACCCGCGTGTGAAAATGGAGCGTGACTACGATTCACCAAGCTCGTCCAAGTCAAGTGACGACATGCATTTGAACGGTTCGCCGTTTGCCTTCGGCCCGCGGACATCGCCTCTGGGGGAACGACCCGCAGCCTCATCACCGATCCAGTGGATCCGCCGAAATATGTGCCCAGATGCCGCTTCGTGTACCTAACTGTGCCACTTCAGAGGCGAAATCTATATCCTTTGCTTTGCAAGCACCCCTAGTTCGATCGGCGTCCGTCACAGTTGTGTTTGCGCGAAACAGCATACGTTTCTCGAAGCTTTTGGCTGTCTGCGTGTAATATCCTGCTAAAAGGCGGGAGTTTTTCTGCACGTGCTTGGGAACTGCATTAAAAGAACCGTGTTTCAGTAGGGTACTGCCTAGGAGACTATATAATTCGAAACAAAATACAAGACACCCGTCGACCAACGCTTGTTATCCCCACCATCCGACAAACCTTTGTGTTTTGTGACGTCACGCAGCACCTACGGATGTCAGCCATTGACACTGGCTAAATTTGGGGTGCAGTTTCGTACATAGGCTCATGAAAGGTTTAATTAATAACGGGAGATCATTTACCAAAATAAAAATAACGTTTGTCTATATGAAGGCTCCCTCGATGTAACGAGCGCAACAACTTAAGTACTTCCGGTTTCGACCGGACAATCCCTTTAACCTAGGGTAGGAATCCATCACTGGATTAAGTTATGACAGTATAATATAACCGAGCAGTCTTGGAGGAGGGGAATATTTTTCCTTACTGTTGTCTGCAAGCTTGTTCTTTTTGTAGACTGTAGCTAATCGCGTCGTGAAAATAAAAGTGTTAGAAAAGCTTATCGGTTAGTTTCGCGCATTGTCAACGATTACGGACCAGTCGTATCTCTGGCATTTATGAATGATCCCTCCATGTGCCTCATAGGTATTTAAAATGTTAGAAAGCACGCAGGATTTTTAGAGCGCAGCTCTTAGGCGCCCGTTTCCGGCTTGAGCGGCGTCGGCGTCCGCGTCGCCGTCGGCGTAACCAAGGTCACCCCAAGGTCACGTGACCCCCAGCTCATGTGACCCCCAAAGGTAACGTGACCCCTCCCAAGGTCACCCCAAGGTCACGTGACCCCTTACAAGGGCACCTCAAGGTCACGTGACCCCCCAAAGTCACGTGACCTCCCCGAGGTCACGTGCCCCCCCCCCCCCCCCCCCCGAGGTCACGTGACCCTCTCCCCCCGAGGACAGGTGACCCCCCGGAGCATATTAAAGAATGAGGGGAGGAAGAGGAGAAAGGGGAGGAGGAGGAGAGGTCTACCCTCCCCTCAGTACCCTTCCCTCCTCCTCCTCAAGAGCTGCGATTCGGCGTTACAGCTTTCACTTTTTACGATTTAAGCCCGCATGGGACTCTACCATGTTTTCGATATTACCTTTACCTCTATTTTTGTTTTCTCACGCTACTGATTGCATAGCATATCAGCTTCCTAACCAGGTCCTTTGTGCGTGTGCACTTAAATTCACTAAATCATTCCTAAAAGGCTATGTTCATGCTAAGTCTCTTAAGTTTTGTTTTATTATGTGGCGGTCCATACTTTTACAACGCCTATGATGGCACTAGCAGCATTATGATAATAAACATAAATATAATTGAACGTTTTTCTTCCGCATTCATCATTTTTAATTCTCTTAGCTAACATACGGCAGCCCCGCTGTGTGCATATGTTATTGGGTAAGTTGTGTTTCACTTCTCTTTTGTCCACTATAAGTGGGGTTCTATGGTTTCAAAATTTACTTTTAGTTCAAATCAGAAGTTATTTTAATATTCCCCTTTACAGCGAATTCGATATGTATCAGTGGTTACTTTTATGAAGTTACCCAATATATTAAAACTGGGGTTTATCAAAGTTGACACTTCATGTATACTGGCATTTTTAATTACGTACAAAGTAAATCACATTCACACACAAACGCCCCGAATAAAATAAGATTAACGCCAGTGTTATTGTGAACAGTATTTGTTGCAGATCTACAGGGTCCTAGCCCATATATATATACACCAATAAAGCAAAAACCACTCACCTCCCTCATTTAAGAGGGCGGAAGGAGTGAGTTTAAGCTCGAAACAATAACAGTGGCTGGCATAACCAAATGCTTGAGGTGCTTGAGGTCGGAGTTAGAGTTTTTTTGTAGAAGAAAGAACTTAAATGCTTGGTGGATAATAAAGACGCAGATCCTGTTTTAACCCTCGAACTTTGGAAGGAAAGGTTTTTCTAAAGAATTCGGGCTTCACAGTCTCAGCTCCAAAAACAAGAAAATACTGCGCAAACTGTCCAGACAAGGTGTAGGACCTTCTTTTGTACAGTTAGGTAGCGATCTTGTTTGTTTTATTGTTGGGAACATGTAGAAGGCGATAGAGTAGATATATCGCAGCATTCTTTTAACAAATTGTAGTGACTAAGTGCTCAGAAGCCCGGAAACCAACAGGGCGAGGGGGATAGTAATGGTTACAAGTAGTTTTATTACTTCCAGAGGTAATCAAATTACTCTTCCGATTTCCCCCTCAAAAATTATTCAAGTTCTTGCAAATCAGTCCAAAAAGTAAGACTACAAGTAATTGGATTTTTTGTAATGGGTTCCAAACATTAGTTTTTTTGTATACTCAGGACTCAATATTTTCTACGTTAGCGGTGTGTTGTTTTTAATTGTTTATAGGAAAGTGGCACCCAGAAAATCCGCACCTATTCATTGAAACAAAGCTAAAAAACAAGATACTTATATTACCTATACACACATTTAAAACATCGTAATTCCTTACATCTATTTTACGCAGTAGGGAAAGAAAAACTATATCAATGATAATATTTCTTTGCGTTTACCAAGCACTTCGCCATAATCTGAAAACGATAGTTTCAGTCGCGTGAGCATTTATATAATCCTACAAGCTGTAAAAAAATGTAACCTCTCTTACCTGTTGTCCCAAAAGTGAAGCATTGGAATATAACACCAGCCGCAAAGAAGAGACGATTCACCGTCTTCGCGGGCATTCTTCACGCCCTTCGAGTTCAGGATAGCGCAAGCACCAAAAAAGCATCTAGAATCCCACAAAAAGAAAAAAAAAAACGGTTTGAGAAACAGATAAAAGTTTTGTCCCCCGCTTGTTTGTCGAGTATGACCCTATGTTTTTGAGTGTGTGCGACTTGAATGAGTTCAAATAGTTTCCCGAGTTAGACGTCTACGTGATCCCGCCGAATAATCTGTGTCCGGGAAGCGGACAAATAGTTGTCGCCTCCACCGTCACTGTCTCTCCTTGTCCTCGTGACAAGGTCAAGAGCGATAATTTCCCATTGTTTCTCCGATGCTGTAATATCTCTCGATCAGATGCGCCCAAGATATAAGATGGTCTACTGCTGCAGTCGCACTTTGACATGATACAAAAGACGCGGTGTACTCTGCACACACGGCGATAGAATTATCTGTGAACACGGCTCAAGAATGTTTGAATCAGGTTTTTTTGCTACCTACCTTTTTTATGCTTGTAACAGGTCTGCAGGCAGTTTTTGTATTACCAATCTGACGAGAGCGTCAAACCTCGCGTGAAGCACGCCTCAGTAAGCGTACGCAGACTGTCTTATGTAGGATGAATGAACCGCGGGGCCACGGCTTAATAGTTTGCGGGGCATTTGATATACAGCCTCCCATTGCCAGTTTCAGAAAGACATGAATGTAAACCTTTTACTTCGTTCTAGAACTTATGGACTTGTAGCACTATTCTGTGGAGACATCGAGAGATAATTGATGGTTAAAACTAAGTTGGCATATGGCTGATTGACACACTGTAGAAACACGAATATCCAAGTTTTTTTTAATGGGTCAATACACCCAAAATTAGAATATAGCAACAACCAAAAAATTAGAGACCTCTATAAATCTTGGAATGCGAAACTATAGCGCAGCCCTTGAGAACGAGGACGGGAAGGAATGGGTAGGGAGGGTATGCCCTGTCTCCTCCTCCTCCTCCGTACCCTCCCCTCCTAATCCACCTCATCCCCTTCCCTCCTCCTGCCGCTGAATTTGTTGATGGGTGACGTGACACAAAGTCGTGACGTCAGTTTCCCCGCTAAATTTAGCGAGGAAACTGATTTGGTCTTGGCGTCACGTGATGTCAATTCTTCCGCTAAATTTCGTGGGGACATTTGCCACTAAATTTAGCAGAGGAATTCCCCCGCTAACTGTAGCGAGGAAGCGTCCCATAATGCAACGCGCGCGGTAACGCCGACGGCGACGCCGGTCAACCTGCAAACAAGCAGCTAAAAGCTGCGCTCTAAAAAAAAAATTCATGCTTTTCGCGGGTGTTTTTTCGTTGGTAAAAATCACCCGAAAGTTGCCGAAACGAATGCTTCAGAATAAATTAATATTAGACCGCCTCACCGTGCTTAGGAACGAGGACGCAGTGTGGCGTCCAGAATAAATACCACAACGTGTTCGTGCCAGGAAAGTTTTAAGAACCTATGATGTTATTTACTAAATTTCACCAACAAAAAGCGAAATTTCACGAGGGAAAGCTTATCCTGCAGGAACCGGAAGATACTTTACCGTTTAGAGCGCAGCTCTTAGGCGCCCGTTTCCGGCTTGAGCGGCGTCGCCGTCGCGGTAACCGCGCGTCGCATTATGGGACGTTTCCCATAATGACGTCACACGTGACGACACGTGTGGCGTCGCGAGGGCGAAATTTTCTGATAAATTTTGCGGAAAATATTTTCGCTAAATTTAGTGGGAGAATTTTGCCCTCGTGACGTCACGCGTGACGCCACTCAAAACGGAAAAATGTGTCCGCAAAGTTTGGCGGGAAAAGTTTCTCGCCAAACTTTGCGGAAAGCTTTTTTTGCTATATTTAGCGAAGAAATTCCCCCACTAAATTTAGCGGAAAACTTTCCCGCAAGCTTTTGCGGGAAAATTTTACCCTTCTGACGTCACATGTAACCCTCCCCTTCTTCTACTCAAGAGCTGCGCTCTAATTCGGCGTCGCAGAGAAATGTAAACGCCTTTAATTTTTTTGCTCTGCATATTTTCTGCACAATAATCTTCCCCGTCCGCTTAAATATGCTGGTGTTATCGTTTAGGCTACCGGACAATGCACGGAGTGATCCATGTGCTGTCGCGTCTTACGGAAATGTGAGAATTCTTCCAATCAGACTGCCCAAATCGATTCCTTACGCTTTCTCGAAAATAATTTATTTAATGGAATAATAATACAAAAAGATGCACATAGTCCGCCACCACCATTATTTGATTGTGGGACAGGCATTTCTAAAAACTTCCATCCCTTTATTTCCATGGCAAAGATTCAAAGCGCGCGCGCGCACACGTGCGCGCACACACACACACACACACACACACACACACACACACACACACACACACACACACACACCGACACACACACACACATACACACACATACACACACACACGCGCACACACGCACACACACACACACACACGCGCACACACACAGACACACACACACACACACAGACACACACACACACACACACAGACACACACACACACACACAAAAAGACTGATAAGCCAGGAGCAAAATATTGCTGGTACCGCTTACCTCGAACAGTAACCCCGCTCATTTGGGTTTTAGATACTTGGGTTGCAACCGTCTTTAGCCCTGTCAGCAGCCCTCGAATTAAGGGTTACAATATTTTGCAAGATGGCATCGAAGTGTGCGTTGCTTTAACTAAATTTTAAAGTTTAGAACGCGGTTGAAGACACAAAACTAAGAGATAACAATGATAACTTCTCCTACACATGGCCTCCGTTTCGTAGGCAGCTTGTCTCAAACTTCATGCTCAAATATTTACGGCGAAACAAAAAAGAAAAAAAAAAGAGAGAGGATTTAAGGTGCTGTTTGGCGATCTTCAAAGTGACGACGTCGGCTGGCTCCATAATACAGTTAATGCTTTTTCGCATTAACACATTCAGACACACAGCGGCGCTCTGCTCCGTGAAACGAGTGCGCTCAGGGGTTTCTCAGAGAAAGAGTACGCAAAAAAGAGCAACAAAGAATATGGAGAGAAAAAAAAAATTCTTCGCAGCAATGGGTTGAGGTCAGTGTTGCGGAAGGGGCACCCCCATTCCATTCCAATTCCATTCCGGGAATTAGAGTTTTCGATAATTCCATTCCTTTCAACTCCTAGGAATGGGGACACTGGGCCCATTCCCACTCCTGGAATGGCTGAATCATTCCATTCCTCTAATTCCGAAACGTAAAAATTGGCACTTGACATAAGCACCGTAAAGTTGACATTATCAAACGCATAGACAATTGCAATAAAATGCAAAATGCCTAAAAAAAAGCACTGATTTTACTAAACGGAACGCTGGTGGTGCAAATTGTTTGTTTACATTCTATACAAACATCGAGAAAGCACCTTGATATGGCGATGCTTGTTTAAAACGTCGGTCTTTCGACCACGTGGCTCGCAACAAACAGCAAAACTTAAATCCACAAATTTTTTTTGGCAAAATTGTCTGCATTTGTTTTCTAGGACATACGCGGCGAGCGTGTTTGTTTGATAAGACCATAAAAATGTCCAGTTCTTGTGTGGCGCAGAAGTAAGCTGGATTACTGTATTCTTGAAATACCTGCACAGCAATACGGCTAGTACGCTGCTGGAGGTGACTCCATGTACCGTGGCAAGAACGCATCCCCTGACAAAGTGCAACCTCTACGGCACAGCACGAGAGACTGTATATACCATGTCACGAAACTGTCTTTGTGCAGGTCTAGTCAGTTCAGTGACGCGACAAGAGCGGTGGCGACAATCTGCTTCACTTTACGGTGGACCGCAACAGACAGCAAGTGGGCCATCGAAACCAATCCAGTGCCTTCTGTTCTTAGTGTCACATGACCCATGGGGCGCAACAACGCGCCGTGCGTGTAGTCCCGCTCACGGTGCTGGATTGCCTGGGGTGACTCGTAGCGTCCGCAGCGGTCCATCACAAGGGGAAACAAAGTGGGCAGAGAAGAAATGAGCGGGAATCCGCTAGCTTGCTTGTAACCCTAACCCACTTGAATGTAAAACATATAACACAGAAAACAAGCATCGGAACAAAGACCAAGTAATAGACGGACCTACACGTAAAAATGCAGTATAAAAAGACAAGCGTCGGAGCAAAGTGCAAGAGGAGAAGAGAAAAGTGAATCTCGCTTTGTTTTAATGCCGAGACAAACCCAGATTTCGCACTTCAAAGGAGTGCGCGTGAATGAACGTGGAAGGCAACAGGCCGCCCGCTAAACACCGCTGTTCGAACTATAAGAAAACAATAACTGATCATCTTTCGGCGGCGCGCGAGTCAACAATAGGGTGACCACCCGTCCCGCGACTCGCGGGACTGCCCTGCATTGAGGGCTCGTGTCCCGCGTCCCGCAATAAATACCAAAATCTGCAAAATGTCCCGCAATTCACATAGACGTAACATTCACTGCGCAAATTATGGCGCTTCCGAACAACGGGGCACAAGGAAGCGCGGAGGTCGCTGATAAACGTGTGAATCTCGATGGTATGCCATTTTCTGTTCAAGCTCTGCGGGAAGCGACTGTCGTTCTTGCACGACAAAGATGCGCACCCGCCGTTCTGCCTCTTCCCTTGATGGAATAAGTATGGCAAGCAAAAATGGCCCTCCAAAGGTTGAAAAATAAACTATTGTAATCATTTGCAAATCATACTGTCTCATGCAAAAAGTAGTTCTGAAAAGCATCTTTTTTTTCTTTTTTTTTTTTTTTTTTTAGTGAAGAGGGCCACACAAGGCAAAGAACCAGCAACTTACAACGGTCGAAAAAACAACAAAATAAGGTCCTAATTTTGTGTAGGAGCATGTCAGTATAAGAGTAAGTATCCACGGGAAACAATAAAACTAAGATTTACTGTTTCCTATTTCCTTTTGATGCTTGGGAGTCGGCTGCAGTCGATTTTTATGTTTTCAGCTTCGACACCTTTATTAAACTATTTACAATTACAATTAAACGAAATACTGTAAACGACTTATTTTCCCCGGGCTCAATATTTCGCGATTTAGGTCAAAGGTGAAGTTTTGGAATAATTCGCGGGTTCTAATTTTCTCGGCGCGGTGGGATCTCAATATAGATTCCAATGTAATTACATATAACCGTAATTTGCGGGACCTATTTTTGCGCGAATCGTAGGCGACTCGCTAAATTGACGAAAATTAGGTTCTCGCGAAAATGAAGTCGTTTACAGTATATCACTCTGAGTGAAATATTGTTTTAGCTTTGCCTCAACAGGATATTTAAGAGTATAATATGCTTTCGGAGAGCGCAGGATTTCGGGGTGTGCGTGTTGGTAAATTTCCTTTAAGACTGTTTTCTT